CCTGCACTGAACAGTAAATCCAAGGGTTTTCTGCAGCTCTCCCTAACTGGGTAGAGAAGGAATTGGCACATGGGCGTGCAGCCAGCTTTGATGTCCCATGGGCTGGAAGGAGCTGTGTCCCTCTCTACTCAGAGCTGGCCCCGTGCCCCAAAAGCCCCTCTCTGGGTGGGCTGCACGTCGCAGATGGGAGCTGCAGCAGGTCCATGCCAGCAGGCTGCACGGGGGCCCTCTGGAGCTGCAGGGAGTGCTCCCCACGCACCCCGGCAGTGCCCTGGGTGCCCCTTGTGGCACTGGTGCCCTGGGGTGTTGGCACCACCCTTGGGCCATGGAGAGCAGCCAGGTGCTTCTCCCCAGCCTGGCCACAAACCCACAAACACTCCTGTCTTTTACCTGCCCTCTGCATCAGCACAGCTCACTGCTCTTTCCAGGTGTCGGTGACAGTGCAGAAATGCTGCCAAAATGATTTTATTTTCAAACAGCAGCATGGGGCAGGATGGCCTGGCCACTGCCATCAGCAGGAGTGGGGCCCTGGGAGTTTTGCTTGAGGTCAGCATGGAGTTAAGGTGAATAAGCAGAAGTTCTGGGTTTTCAGGATCTGCTGGAGTCATGACCGTGTGTCTCTTGTTTCTCACCAGGGCAGTTGGGCATGGTTCAGTGCTGTGTGTGTGTGCAGTGGGCACACAGTGGGCAGACCCTGGCCCTGGGATGGCTCAGGTCACCTGCAGAGCCCAGACGATGAGGACTTTGAAGGGTTGTCAAGGTCATTGTGTTTTAAACTGCGTGTCTGAAACTGGCTCTGTGTTGTAGAAGTGATGCTGGTGGGCTGGCTGGTCCCCGCCTTCTCTCTGAATGAATTTTCAAAAGCTTCTGCCTTTTGTCTTCTTGTGCATCTGGTAGGATGTCCTGTGTGTTTCACTTTGCAGGGCGTCCTGCTGCTCAGTAAGATGCTGTGGTTTATCACAAATAGATGATGTTAACATTTAATGTGTCGGGTTTTTTTTTTTTCAAACAGCCTTCATTGTGTGGTTGCAGTGGTAAAATAATTGGTGTGCTGATAAAACACAACTAGAAGCTCATAATGTTAAAATATTGAGATTTGATGGCTGTATTCAAGTAGGACCAAAATTCCTGCTCTCCCACAGTTCTATATATATATATATTCATGGATCAATAATTCACACCTGGTCATGTCATTATTTCATCTGAAATGAAAAAAAACCCCCAAACCTGTTTGTGTCCGTGTAAAGCATTTTGCTCTGGAGTTTCGCCTGGGCAGAAGCAAAATGTAAGATAATGCAGCCGTGGAGGGGCGGGTCAAATTGCCGTACATATTAAAAGAGGAGCTTTTGATCAGCTCCTTCCAGCCTCTGGTGTGACTCCATTTATCTGCAGATCTCAGGGGATGCCCCAAGTTAGTTAATCAGGGCAGCCAGCTGTCCAGCTTTCCATGGGGTAGGGTTCAAGCTCCCAGCCCATCCTCTGCAGCCAGGCTGCCACAGCAGTGGATCTGTGCTCCCTGCAGCGCTTCAGCCCTCAGGCTGCTCCAGGAACGCCAGCCAGGCACTCGGGGCTCCCTCCCAGCCCTGCTCGCAGCTGCGGGGCTGCTGACCCATCCACGCTTTGCGTTTTTAAATCAGCGCCCGATGTGGTCGCAATGGTGCTGGGGACACCTTGGTGTCGGGTGGGCTCTGCCCAAGGCGTGCAGGAGAGCTGTGACACCGAGGTCGGGGTAAAGAGGTGCAGTGTGAGGGTCGGATGTTTGTGACTCAGTGATATTTCGTGGTTGGCTCTTAGGCTGAAGGCACAGCTCGTCTCTGTGGGGCGGCTCTGGCAGAATTATTGCTCCAGGGATTTTCGGGACAGACGTGTTCTTACAGGGAGATAAATAGCGAACCTCGTGCTGCTTGTGTTTTGAGGAGGGCTTTTTTACAGCTTGTTCACCATGTCTCCACATTCAGATTCCTAAACAGCAGTAAAATTTTAGTTGGCTTTTTCTTTTTTTTTAACAAATCCCAACTGTTCTCCCAAATGCGCGTGCGTACTGAGAGATAGCAGGGAGTTTAATTTCACTTTTCACTGATTTTTCACTTAATTCAACTTGACTTTCTCTGCAGTCATTTGATGAAGCTGTGGGTACGGGCACGGGCATCCCTCTCGCTGCCCGTCTGGGGAGCCCAGGAGGGCACGGGGAGTGCCAAGGCAGGGTGCCTGGTGGGTGGAGCTGGTGAGGGTGTGCGGGGGGCACCTGCACCCCCTGCTTTTGGCTTCTCAGCGTGCAGGGGACCTGCCGAGCTGGGATCTTCCTTGCGTGCCCCAGAGTGCCAGCGGATCTGCAGCGCTCTCCCGATCTTGGGGTGTTCTTGCTCAGCTGCTTGTCCTGTCCGGGCGGTTTTTCCCGGGTTTTTTTTTGGATGGTGGGCAGCATCCTCCAGCTGGCAGTAGGGTTTTACCGGGTGCAGAGCAGAGCTGGGCAGCCTTGGCGCGCAGCGTTTATCCCGAGCGGTGTGTGAGAGCACGGGAAGCCTTTGCTCGTCCCCCGGCCTGGCTGGAAGCACCACGAGCAGCCCCGGCCGGTGAATCGAGCGCTGCCGGCCGGCCGGCGCGCAGGCTCAGGTGGTCGCCATCCCGCGGTGTCACGGAGCCCTTTCAGCGATTTGTCACGGCCGGGCCCGCTCCCGCTGCGGCAGCACGTGCCAGCTCCGTGTTCCAGGGGCCGCTGCCAGACGGGCTCAGCCCCCGCAGCCCCCGGCCGCCAGCGAGCCCCGCTCCCTGCGCTTCCTGCGCTTCTTGCGCTCCCTGCGCTGCGCTTCCTGCGCTCCCTGCGCTGCGCTTCCTGCGCTCCTTGCGCTCCCTGCGCTTCCTGCGCTCCTTGCGCTCCCTGCGCTGCGCTTCCTGCGCTCCCTGCGCTTCTTGCGCTTCCTGCGCTCCTCTCCCTGCGCTGCGCTCCCTGCGCTGCGCTTCCTGCGCTCCCTGCGCTCCTCTCCCTGAGCTGCTCTCCCTGCGCTCCCTGCGCTTCTTGCGCTGCGCTTCCTGCGCTCCCTGCGCTCGTCTCCCTGCGCTGCGCTCCCTGCGCTTCTTGCGCTTCCTGCGCTGCGCTCCTCTCCCTGCGCTTCCTGCTCTCCTCTCCCTGCTCTCCCTGCGCTCCTCTCCCTCTGCTCTGCTCCCTGCGCTCCTCTCCCTCTGCTTCGCTCCTTGCGCTCCCTGCGCTCCTTGCGCTCCCTGCGCTCCGCTCCCTCTGCTCCTCTCCCCGCTTTTCGCTCCTCTCCCTCTGCTCCTCTCCCCGCTCTCCTCTCCCCGCTCTCCTCTCCCCGCTCTCCTCTCCCTCTGCTCCTCTCCCCTCTCTCCTCTCCCCGCTCTGCGCTCCCTGCGCTCCTCCCGCACCGCCCTGGCAACAGCCGAGCTCCCGGCAATCGGCATCTCGGTAATGAGCAGTGCGTGGCATCCCCGCCCCCCGTCCCTGCAGAGCTGGGCCCGGCCGTGCGCGCAACTTTGGCAGCCTGGTCATCAGCCAGAGTCGCCAGGAGTTGGGGCCGGGCGGGGCCAGGAATGCGTCCTGCCGGCAGGGCAGGAAAAGCGAGCAAATAACGCTGTCAGCAGGTGCAAACGCTGCAGTGCTGCCCGTTGGTTTTCTTTCTTCAGGCTTCCACGGGAAGTTTGTAAGAAGATTTATCACGTACCAATCGTCCCCCGCGAGCGTTAACCGCAAAATTCTTCCTTTCTTTCTGTCCCCTTTGTTGCCACCACGCCTGCAGGAACTCGAAGATGTGCCTCGCTTATTCCCTTCGAGGTCCACGCTAGACCATCGTCTCCTGGCTTTAAGCACTGCTTTTCTCTGATTTTTTTTTTTTTTAAATAGTGTTTCAGAGTGGTTTTGTTAATGTACTGCAAGTCACAAATGGCACTTCAATATTAATTAGTAATGCTTTTCAATTCTAAATACCCTCACCTGCATTCTGTTGTCACTGGTGTTATTCTCCTGCTCCTAATTTCTAAATTCAGCTTGGCCTTTGCTCCCACCCAACAGCCTCGCGGAGCTCGAGTGCATTTCCCCATAACAGGAGCACAATGAGGCGCTGAAAACTTTTGTTTTCGCCGAGGAAACGGAGAATGAGATGTCATCCTGGCTCCTGCGAGCCCTAATTCACAAAGTCATACGTGAGGCTCTCCAGCCCATTGTAGGTTTGTCCCAGGCGTTATCCTGTTATTGGAAGTGTATGATTCACCTTCTGAGCAGACAGAAGCTGCACACAAAAGGGGAAGATTTGCTTTCTCCGCTCTGAAAGGCAGCCGCAAGCAGGGGTCCTATTAAGACAGCTGGAAAGTTGCTTCAGCTTGTTACGCTTGTAAGTTTTATTGGTGACTGGTTTTTGATTACACATTTGAATGCTGTGTGTTCCAGGTTGCCGAGTTTTAATTAAAAGGCAATAGTCTCCGTGTTAGCTCGCTTTGTTGTCTGCATTATTCAGGCCATAATGCATGCGAGGCGTGGGCTGGGTTTGTCCACCGTGCATCGTTTATTTGGGATACATAAAGGTCGCACCTTCTAGCACCTGCCCTAAAAATAACGGTCACGCTTTGGGAATTGGTTTATTGTGTTTAATTTCTCCTAAGAAGTCCAGTGATCAAATGGAGCTGGGTGGGGTGGGGTGGGCAGAAGGGAGGGTGTTGTACCCCTCTGTCCTGTAGCATTTTTTTTTTTCCTCCAACCTAATTACTTTTCTGGTCATTGGAACAGGAATATCGTGTGCCAGGAGCTTCCCATAGTGGCACGGTGGGTTTTGATCTGAGGCTCTGGCAGCTCCCAGGCCACAGCTCCCGAGTCAGGAAGCTCCAAAGGTGTCACCCTGAATGTCCAGCCCTGACTGTGTCCCCCTCCTTGTTCCCGTTCAGGACAGCCGGGCGGTTTGCTCCGGTTCCCTGCCCGTTCCAGCGTGGACGTGGGGCTCGGGGAGGCACAGCCTTGAGTCGGGCACACACCTTTCCTTAACGGGGCACCGCAGCTACGAGGAGAGAGCTCTGTACCTCGAGGCCATCATCCAGAACCACAAAGAAGTGATGACGTTCGAGGATTTTGCTGCTCAGGTCTTCTCTCCCTCTCCCAGCTACTCCCTCGGTGGAACTGGTGAGTGTCTGCACGTTATTCTTCTCGGTAGCCCCAAGAAGCACTTGAGCAGCAGATGTACACCTGTTTTTTGTAGATAAATGCTTGCAAATTTAAGAAGACTATTCTTCCCCTGAATCGACTAATGAATATCAAAAGGAACGATGACATTCATTTTAATTTGTTTTGCATCAGGGCTATTCACACTGCTCCTTTCTTCAGCTATCCTGTTAACCCCCAACTCGGGCGAGGTTAATGAACTTTCTCGCAGCGATGGGGCCGGGGCTCATTCAGGACTCGGGGTTCTTGCTGAGCCGGGAATACGCTGTTCAAAAGCGAGGCCTGAATCGGGGCTCACTTATCAGGAATAGTTCCTCGCAGGGGAAGCTGCTGCTAATGCTAAATGGGGATTATTGTGCTGAGCTACCGGGGTCGGGGATTAATGCGGAGGGGGTGCAGGAACGGGGTGCTGTGGGGGAATCTGCAGGGCCCGTGCGGGGCTGTGCGGGGCTGTGTGTGCGCTCACCGGGGCTCAGGGGGCCCGCGGAGAGGGGACAGCAGCGTGCCCGACTCCGGGAATTTATTCCTCATGGAGGGTTAGGGGGTCAGTGTGCAGTCACGATCGCTGCCCGGCTGGTTCGGTTGAGTTTAAGGGAACCTCTCCTGAAAGGCTGTTTGGCTCTGAAATGCACATTTTCTAGCGCCTTCAAAATGTGGGTTTCTCCCAGCATCCGGAAAGTATCTGGTCACCGTGTGCTGGACTGTCTGACAAAGATTCCTTAATCCATCGTTGACACTCCTAGGGGTGACACTGGCACTTTCTAATCATTCCCCGCTTCTCTTTTGGATTGCTGAATAGATTATTTCCAACCCGTATAAACGTTGCAGGACATCTGCTCTATTTCTCTTTAGCCCGACTTGTTAGCAGCTATCTTCCATCTAAACTGAAACACTGGAGGAAGAAATTAAATTTGCTCGCATAAATCACTTAGGAATAAAACCAGCCGTGCAGCATTGTCTGGCGTAGCTGGCTCCGGTCCTGGCGTGCTCGGAGCTTTGTGAGGAGATAAGAGGCGTGTGCTGGCCGGGCAGTGGTGGCCAGGAGCAGCAGGCAGAAGGCTTTGGAGATAAGCGCTGGCAGGAGGGGGGGAGGAAGCCGGGGCCATTTACATAATCGCGCCTCCGCGTCCTGGAGAGGCGTCGGGGAACACGGGATGGCTCTATTGATCTCTGCTGAACTGGAATACTAAACAACGCTCGGAAAGCTTATAACTTAAAGCTTTGATTAATGTTTCCTACATTAAAAAGTAGAACAGCTGTGCATTAAATTCTTTTATACACTCTGCCAAAAGTCTGGGACAAAAAACCGTGGCCGGTTTCAATGGGAGCGCGGCGCGTGCCCAGGGCTGGTGGTTAGCGCTTGAATCCTTTCTCTGTGGGCAATCAGCGAATGGAAACGTCGCTGCAGCGAGCCCTGCCAGGCGTGTGGCTCCGAGCAGAGCTGCTCGGGTCGTTCCTAGCGCAGGGTGTCGTGCCACATGTGGTTTGGCAGGGCAGCCCCCTGCCCGGCACTTGAAATGCGTTTCCCGGTAGCTGAGGGTTTCAGAACAGTCGAATCGGGAGTAGCCGGCTACGATTTCGTTGTTTTTAATCGCTTTTCGGTGCAAAGCCTCCCCCAGTCAGGTCCCGATTTTCAGACTTCCGAGCCTCAGAATTAATTTCCCGCTCAGGAGCTGGAGGCTGGCCGTGACTCGTGGTGGCAGAATCTCTGCCTCAGGGAGCCTCCTGCATTGCCCGCTGACTCTCCTGCATATTTAGTGAGTGATGAGCAGGGGCCGTGTCAGCCGTGGCCACGGGGATGTGTTTTCCATCAGATGCCCCTCAGCAGTCAGCAGGGAGGCTGCACGCAGCCCTGGCAGCTCAGCTCTGCTGTTCCCCAGCCTGTCCTGCTCCTGCAGGAATCACCTGTCTGTCACTTAGGGGACGTTTTTCCATTCTGAAACAGAAAAGAGGAGTCAGGGAGCACTTTTTCGGAAGCACTTTTCTCTGAAGGAGTGGTCAGGCACTGGGTTCCCTTTATCTGGAAGCGTTCAGGAGGGGTCAGGATGTGATTTCGTGGTGAGGATGATGGTGGTGCTGGGTTGGCCACCGGACTTGTTGATCTCTTCCAGTCTTGCAGGTGCTGCATTTCCTGCAGGAAAATTGTCCAGTTTTTCCAATTGTCCAGTTGATCTCCTTTGGTGTTCTGAGAAGCACAGCCCCGGACTCCCTGTATGGCTCATAGAGAGCCCCGGTACCTTCAGCGCTGGAAGCGCAGCCCTGCAGGCAGAATGGCCATCCCCAAACTCATTTAGGGGATGTGCAGATTAGGAACAAAAGCTGGGAATACGGCCCTTTGTTGTTAAACTGGTGCATTACATGCTGTATTCTAATTAGGCAGGGTTTGAGAGGCAGCCCAGGAAATCCTCCATAATCCAACACTATTGAATTATCCTCATTCTTTCCCTCTGTAGATTTCTCTCCTTTTAGTGGACGGGCTTTGAGCTGCTGCTCTTGCTCGCTCGGCCACAACCAGAAATAAGTTATTCAACCAAATCCTCGCGTGTTCTTTAAAAACACGGGTGAGGCTGGAGTGGGCAGAGCAGCGCCTCGACTTCAGCTGCCTCCGTGGCTCCTGGCGGTTCCGTGGGGCTCTGGGCTGGTTTCGTGTAGGGTCAGCAGGCAGAATCACGGGTGTTGACCTCGGGGAGAGGAAGGGGCCGCTGGATGTTCCCGGAGAGCCCCCCAGGCGTAGCTGTCGCGGCACCAGGAGCGTGGCCGAGGGGTTTGTGGTGGCCACGGCAGGTTCCTGCCTTGCAGGGAAGCCCCCGGGCCGGCGCTGCCGCCGGCACCTCAGGGGTTAATGGGAACGGGCACACTTGACTGCTGAGAGGACTGATCTAATCACTGCCATATCCAAGTGCATCTGTTCACCATGAGGTCATTCTTGTGCATGCTAATGACTTGGAAAATAAAGCACAATGCTGAGCGTTATCAGGGAGGATATAGTGTAAATCTTGGCTTTTTTAGTTGCTAATGGCTAGTGTGGAATGGGCAGAGAAAGCATCTCGGGTTCTGGCTCGATGTTTTTAAAGCATCCTTTTCAGTGGAGCATCAGAAAAAAAACTGTGCTGGAAAACTTGGACATGTGGTATCTGTTGATAAATGGATTCTTTAATGAATATTATGGCATTGCCCAGGAGCAACACTTGAGTCGAGGAACTATTGAGGTTTTCAGCATTCCCTGGTTTTAAAGCCTAGGGAGCCGTGCCTGCTGATTTACATAAAACCGAGATTTTGCAGCCTTTTTGTTGCAAAGGTGACACACGCTTTTCTTTTGTCTCTGGACTTTTACACGCTCAGAGTTCTTGCAGAAAATATTTGAAATGTACAGCGAACAAGATGTGGTTTATTTTAAACCACTTTTGGTTCAATGCTGAGCTTTATCTTTCCCACTTTAAACCGAAAGGGTTATTTAAATTGGACGTGCAGATTTCAAGTATATTTCTGACAGAAACAAAACCAAGCCCAGAGCGCTTCTTGTTTTAAACAGGATTGATGCTTTTTGTAGCGGTTATTAAGCCAAGGATTCCTTTTGCTTCGGTTTAGTGTTTTTCTGGCGTTTTTATACTACTCTGGTGTTTTTGTCCTTTTGTCTTTTTCCTTGAAGCTCTGTAGGGTGTTCTGGCAGCTCTGTCTCGGGGTTCTGTGTGTGTATATATAGATATACATATATATAGAGTATTTTTGCCTGTTTTGCTGGGAATATTGGAAACGTACACATCTGAAAGTGAGTAGCTGTGCCACGGTTAGGGAGCACATGCAGCGTGTGTGCCAAGAGTTTGGTTTGAGCCGTGTCAGTGTTGCCTGAAGTGGAACTGTTTGTTTCTAAGGGATGGGATGCAGGGAATTGCCGACTGTCCTGGTGACCAGTGAGACAGGCAGCAGTTGCTGGCCCCGGGGGAGCCCCTGCCGTGGCACGGCTGGATGTGGGAGCTGCTCCTTGCCCGTGTGCTCTCGCCTGGCAGTGCTGCACTCTGCAGGAGAGGAGGTGGTGAGGGAGGGAGGGCTGGTCCCAGCATGGGTGACAATGGGACACTGAGCCGTCCCTTGTGCCGGGGACAGCTCCAGCTGCTCGAGCTCCGAGGAGGCTCCAGGCATTGTGGCCCCTTTGCATGTTCCCTCTGCACTGAGGTGATACCTGGGCTCGGGCTGCCCTACCTGTGACACCCCATGAGCCCCAGCACTTGGGGGCTGAGCCTTGCAGAACTGATCAGCAGCTGCTCCAGCTTGTGAGTAATTAAACTTCAACGTGCACATTTCAGGCTCGTTTCCTATGCCCTCACATGCCCAGCTCGTTATCCCTGGGTTCTTCCAGGATATGATCCAGGATCAGGATGCTGCTTACAGTGCACATGGAGCCTGTCTGTGGGAGTCGGAAGCAGGAATGCTGTGCAGATTTACTGCAATGGTTCTGTCTGGAATTTTATTACTTTTGCATTTACTAGGAAGGAAAACAAAAAGATTTCTACACACCTGTCCTGGCTGCAAGGTTAATGGGGGCTGGAACAGGTCACAGCCCATGTGAAAACTTGATGGTTCTTCCTAAGTACCAATCTTCAGGATCCTTACAGGTCATGGTCTTAGCCACCCTTGCTTTCAGGGCTGTTGAGCTGGCCATTCCTAGGGCACATGCCCTGGGGAAAAATACAGGTTTGTTCGTTTGTGGACTGGATTTAAGATGCTGTACACCACACCACCTCTGTCTGGCATCCTGCAAGGTAACACTGCATTTGAAGTGCTTTCATCTATATTTTCAATGGTTTTTAATTCTTCCTGCAAGAAATGTGTTTTAAAAGCTTAATGCTCTCTAAGCAGCCTCACCTGTGAGAGGCCCTCATGTGTGGTGGGTGTCTTGTCTGAGTGCAGGTGTGTGACTGCTCATGGACAGCTTTTGTGCACTCAAGGACTTCCTCCTCTGGGAAATCTGTGTGGCACCAGGATCACTTTGCTGCTCGCTTCCTGGAGCTTTAACCTGGCTATGGTGTCACAGACGTTCAGGTCTCCGTGAAGCCTTGAATTTTTTAGCCACGTTGAGATGGTGTGACAGCAGCAGTGCTGGATGTGGAGCTGAGACGTGCAGCAGCTGCCCATCCCACAGCAGCAGGTTTGGCAGAAGATGAAGGGCAATGAATATTCTTTCCAATTTTTTCCAGCATTGTTCGTTTCAGTGCTCAGAGCCCAGGAGGAGTCACATGGGCCCACGTTTCTGCAGGTCCCTGAGGGGAGCTCCCCCTTCCACCTTTAGTGGGGTGTGCTGGGTCGGGTTGGTGCCAGTGCAGCAGTCACAGGGTGCTGGTCCTGCACTGCACAGGTTTGTCCC